TGGATGAATGGATGATGAATGGATGGATGGATGGAGGGATGATGGATGGATGGATCGATGATGGATGGAGGATGGATGGATGAAGGATGGAGGATGGATGGATAGATGATGGATGGATGGATGATGGATGGATGGATGATGGATGGATGATGGATGATGAATGGAGGATGGATGGATGGATGATGGATGATGGATGATGGATGGATAGATGGGATGGATGGATGGATGATGGATGATGGATGGATTGATGAATGGATGATGAATGGATGATGGATTGATGAACGGATGATGGATGGATGGATGGATGATGGATGGATGATGGATGGATGGATGATAGGTGGATGATGGGTGGATTGATGGATGAGTAGATGATGAATGTGAGGGTGGATGATGGATAGATGAATGATGAATGGGTGGATAATGGACGATGGATGGATGGATGATGGATAAATGATGAATGGATGGATGGATGGATGATAGGTGGATGATGGATAGATTGATGGATGAGTAGATGAATGTGAGGGTAGATGATGGATGGATGATGGATGGATGGAGGATGAATGGATTGATGGATGGATTGATGGATGGGTAGATGATGAATATGAGGGTGGATGATGGACGGATGATGGATGGTGGATGGATGATGGGTGGATGATGATGGATGGATGAATGATGGATGGATGAATGATGGATGGATTGATGGATGGTGGATAGATGATGGGTGGATGATGATGGATGATGGATGGATTGATGGATGGTGGATGGATGACAGGTGGGTGGACAGATGATGAACAGGTGAGTACATGGGTGGATAAGCATATGGATGAATGGGTGGGTGATGTATAGATGAGTGATGATGGATGGATGACAGAGGGATGGTGGGATTGGTGTGAGGGGGGATAGGTGAGTGACGGCTGGATGGATGGGTAAATGGGTAGCTGTATGACAGGAATGGATAGATGGAAGGTGGATGATGGATAGATGGATGCATGATATATGGATGGATGGGTGGATCTCCCACCCTGAGGCCCACATGCACTCCCAACCTCTGACCCCGGGGCCCACCAGCACCCCCCAACGCTGGGCCTTGGGTCCAAACCCTGGGGCTCCTCAAGGGTAGGGGTCCAAGTCTGCCCTTGTCCTGGTGCCAGGATTGTTCACCAAACAACCCCTTAGTGCTGGGGGCTGGCAGGGGGAATCAGGGAGGCCATTGGCTCACCTAAGGGAATCATCCCACTGTCTTCCTTTCCACCTGCCGCCCCGGGGCCCTGCGTCACGTCCTGAGACACCCCCGTCACTGACGACCCGTCGGGGGAGGTTGCTGGGCCCTGAAATGAGAGCGCACATCTGGAACTCAGAAACCTGAGTAAGGGCCAAACCTGAGTGAGAACCTCTATTTCTCCTGCTCCTGACACGGTCAACCAGCTGTGGAATCCCATCCCTGTGAAATCCACCCCTGCTGTGGTGAAGTCACAGTCATGCTGGAGGAGAGGCCACCCACAGAGAGGCCCACAGGGGAGGAACCAAGGCGTCCTGCCAAGCCCCTGCTGGGGAGCCGTCTGGAAACCACCAGCCTTCAAATGACAGCCTGGCCCACACTGCCACTGTGAGCTCACCGGAGACCCTGGAGCTGGCCCCAAACTCCTGGCCCACAGGGGCTTTCTGAGCTCACAGAGGTTTGCTGTTTTACACCCCTGAGTTTGAGGTGATCTGTCACGCAGCAAGAAATAACTAATACACCTGCCTCAGGTCTGTCTTCAGCTTGTTCCTGCCCTTTGGATAAAGTGCAAACTCCTTAACAAAATGCAGAATACAGGAGCTACTTTCAACTTGGAAGAAAGTCAACGAGGTTCAGAAACAACTTTTCTTGGTGTAAGACGGCAGAACAGCTGCCAAGCGGGATGGCACCAGCCAGGAAGACCAAGCTTAAAAAGTTTCAGTCCAACTCTGGCTGGGGTTTCTTGGCACTGCTATATCATTCATTTAAAACCATGTCCCCAAGGGAAGAAGATCAGAATTCTTCTGGTGCCGATGGGAGCTGGCCCATGTGTTACACACATTTTCCGTCTCAAAACTTTTTGGCCAGAGTACCTGAATCACAAAACAATGGTTGGTATGAAAATTAGCAATGCCTAGGCCAGTTGTGGTGACTCACGCCTGCAATCCCAGCACTTTGGGAGGCTGAAGCAGGTGGATCATGAGGTCAGGAGTTTGAGACCAGCTTGGCCAACACGGTGAAACCCCATCTCTACTAAAGATAACAAAATTAGCTGGACATGGTGGTGAGCGCCTGTAATCCCAGCTACTCAGGAGGCTGAGGCAGGAGAATCACTTGAACCCTGGGAGGTGGAGATTGCAGTAAGCTGAGATCACACCATTGCCCTCCTGCCTGGGCCACAGGGTGAGACTCTGTCTTCAAAAAAAAAAGCAAAGAAAGGAAAAAAAGGAAAATTAGCAATACCTAAAATTTGACTGGCTGGTGATAAGATTCAGCAGAAAGCATTCCCAGTCTTCCTTAAAAGCACACTGTTTGGGCCTGGCGGGGTGGCTCACACCTGTAATCCCAGCACTTTGGAAGGCCAAGGTTAGGAGTTCAAGACCAGCCTGGCCAACATGGTGAAACCCCCTCTCTTTTAAAAATATATAAAATTAGCCGGGTGTGGTGGTAGGCACTTATAATCCCAGATAATGGGGAGGCTGAGGCAGGAGAATCGCTTGAAACCGTAGGCAGAGATTGCAGTGAGCTGAGATTGTGCCACTGCACTCCAGGAGGCCTCCTCCTCTTCTGCTGTGGAGGGAATGGGTAACCCTTTCCAACCTCACTTGAGGCCAGGAGTTCAAGACCAGCCTGGTCAACATGATGAAACCCCATCTCTACTAAAAATACAAAAAAATTAAGCAGGCATGGTGGCAAGTGCCTGTAATGCCAGCTACTCAGGAGGCTGGGACAGGAGAATTGCTTGAGCCTGGGAGGTAGAGAATGCAGTGAGCTGAGATCATGCCACTACACTCCAGCCTGGGCGACAGAGCAAGACTCCACATCAAAAAAAAAAAAAAAAAAAAAAAAAAGGTCCGTTCCTTGGAGGTCTGGCAGAACTTACATGGAAATGCCAGAACCTGGGGCCTTCTATCAGGCAAGGTCTTTAATCACCTTGATTATCTCTCCCTACTCTGGTTTCTACCTTCCTCTTGCACCTGCCACTTTGTCATGAGCATGTGTTGGTGATTTCTACTTTCCTAGAAACTGTCCGTTTCCTCCAGGACTCCGAATGCATCACATGTGCGGCATGTGGTGGTCTCAGCAGCTCCCGAGTCTGCTCCACCGCCCAGCTCTGCCTGCTCCCACCACCGGTGTCTGCGCCATGTCCTGTTTTCCTCCTCATCTGCTTGCGGAAGGTTTGCGCTGTTCTAGCATTGGTTGAGTTTGGGGCTTGATCATCCGCCTGTCCTCTGCTTTCCTGCTAGGTTTTGCTTTTGCACTGAACAGCTAACCTGCCTCTTTTCCTGTGCTCCTGGCTGCCTCTGGAGCCCCAGGGGCACGTTGTGTCACACTAACCAGGTACAGGTTTGACCTGCCTCTCCCGGCCTCCGAGGCCCGACCCACCAGCCTTTCTCATTTCCCTGCTGGTGGACACCCTGCCCCCAGGTCTCAAACTGTACTCTCTGACTACTGTGTGCCTGAGGCTAGATGCTCAGTGACTACAGCCAGGCCATTGGATCTCTCTGGGCAGACCTGATTCTCTGCCCTGTCTTCCTGTCAAACCCTGTGTTTCAAAGCAGGACAAGAGGAGGCTGGGAGGCTCAGCCATTCCCTCCACTGCAGGACAAGAAGAGGTTTCCAGGTGATCTTCACCGTTTTCTACCAGCACATGAGCCTCTCCTTGGCTGTCCTTGTCTTTCTCATCCTGCAGTGCCTCGGTGAAAACTCTGAGGTAGGCAAGGACCCACAGACCAGACGCCAAGAAACCCCAATCCACAGCCACGCCCGCAGATGTCAGCTGTCTATGCACCACTGCCAGCTGCAATGCTGATCACCGAGGCTGTTACTATTCTTTTACCTAAAACTAAAACAACACTGACTTAAGACCATGTTGTATCACTGCTGGAAATGGAAAGCCAGTATCATGTGGCAGAGAGAGATGTCATGGGAGACTCAGTCACTCACAGCAGTGTTATTCCAGTCCATGTGGCCACCGATAAGAGAAGGCTGTGAGCCTGAGACCTGCTGTCATTAAAGAAAGAGAAGTACAGATACAGGAGAGATGTTCGCCCCGGAGCAAGCGGAGAGCAGCGCACAGGAGTCCTGCTGGCCCAGAGGCCCAGTGATTCCCCAACTTTTTTTTTTGAGACAGAGTCTCACTCTGTCACCCAGGCTGGAGTGCAGTGGCACAGTCTTGGCTCACTGCAACATCCAACTCCCGGGTTCAAGAGATTCTCCTGCCTTAGTCTCTCGAGTAGCTGGGATTACAGGTGCCCACCACCACACCCAGCTAGTTTTCATATTTTTAGTAGAGATGGGGTTTCACCATCTTGGCCAGGCTGGTCTCAAACTCCTGACCTCGTGATCCACCTGCCTCGGCCTCCCAAAGTGCTGGGATTACAGGCATGAGCCACTTCGTCAAGCTGATTCCTGAACTTTTAGATTCACTAAGCAGTAGAACCCCCACTCATCCCCAAATGGAAGGGATTTATTCTGCAAGATATATACATTAAAAGCAACAACAACCTCCACCTACTTTAACCATCTTTACCTAAAAGAACGTTTTAATGCCAAAGAAACAGATGGCACGAGGTCAGAGTAGTAACAGTGGCTGAAATCTACCTATACAGCACCCATGTGCCAGGACCTGTTCTGAGATTCATGAAAACTGGAAAGGGCGTAACCCACGCTGACCGATTCCACGTGAGTTCTATTCCACCCCCGGTTCACCTCACGTTCACCTCACCTCTGTGGCAGACAGAATAATGGCCCCATGACACACACGTCCCTATCCTCAGAACCTGTCACATGCTGTCTCAGGGCAACGGGGACTCTGCAGACGGGAGGGAATTAAGCACTGACATCGGGAAGCTACCCTGAATTATCCTGACCGCCCAATGTCATCACAGGCATCCTAAGAAGTGGCCACAGTACACCATGGAATACTATGCAGCCATGAAAAAGGATGAGTTCATGTCCTTTGCAGGGACATGGATGAAGCTGGAAACCATCATCCTCAGCAAACTAACAACAGGAACAGAAAATCAAACACTGCATGTTCTCATAATTATGTGGAAGCTGAATGATGAGAACACATGGACACAAGGAGGGGAACGTCACACACCAGGGCCTGTTGGGGTATAGGGGATTAGGGGAGGGAGAGCATCGGGACAAACACCTGATGCATGTGGTGCAGCAAACCACCATGGCACACGTATACCTATGCAACAAACCTACACGTTCTGCACATGTATCCCAGAACTTAAAGTAAAATTTAAAAGAGATGACCACAGGACCTAACAGGGTCAAGGTCAGAGAAGTGACGGGAATGGAAGCAGAGGTCGGAGTGCAGCACTCTGAGGATGGAGGAAGGGCCAGGAGCCACGGAATGTGGGCAGCCTCCAGAAGCTGGAAAAGGCACGACAGATTCTCTCCCAGAGCCTTGAGAAGGACCGTGGCTCTGCAGACACCTGGATTTTGGGCCATGAGACCCATTTTGGACTTCTGACCTCCACTACAATTACAGACTTGTGTGATTTGTCAGCCGCTGGCCTTGTGGTGATTTGTTACAACCCACGTCGGGGAACAATGGCCTGGAAGGAGAGTGAGGATAGAGAAGCCAGAGTCAGCACAGAAGGGCTGGGAGGTGGGAGCAGAGGAGCAGCAAGGTGTATCCCAGACAGAAAGCGGGGAGTGTTTGGGGGCTGGGCAGGCTGCACGAGAAGGGAGATGGATGGGGCTGCTGGCAGCCTTCACAGGAGCTGCTCCCTCTGGAAGAAAGGAAGGACGCCTGGCTGCCGTGGACTGAAAGCTCTGCTCACGTTGCCTCACCGAGATGCCACCTTTCTGCTGCTCCCTCTCAGCACCCACCAGGTACTCGGTATGCACTTAGAAGGAACACCCGACTGCTCTGACTCTACGCCCTCCTGCCACTGGGGACTCTAGCCTCACTGCAAACACCCCTCACACTCAGGTCCCTCTGCTGCTCAAGATGCCCCAGGGCCTTTGCATGGGCTGTTCCCGTGGCCTGGACCCACTCTTCTCAGACGTTTGTGTGGCTGCCCCCTGCTCATCACCCACACCCCACAAGGCAGCTGCCGGCCGCGTTAGAGTGCCACGTAATCAAAGGACAGTATTTTGAATACACCGGGGTCACTGACGTAGATTATTAAAACTAAATTCACCAGTTTCTTTTCACCTTTTTGAACGTGGCGACTAGAACCCTTCAGATGGCATCTGCGGCTCACACTGCACATCCCCCTGGACAGGGCACTCTAAGCCAGGCTGCCAGCCTCCTTTATGGGGCTTCCCCTACGGGGCCAGGCAGTCAACGCTTCAGGCTTCACGGGCCGTCTGTTGTCGTCGAGGTGGCAAGAGTCAGCCACGGATGACGTAAGCGAATGGGTGTGGCTGTGCACCCAGACTTCACCCAGACAGTGACTCGGCACAGGCCTGCTGTGTGGTCAAGAATCCAAACTGCCCAGTGAGAGGCCTGGCTTTTGCCCTCCGCCCCTGGGAAGTCACCTCTCAGCCCCTGGAGCCTCAGGCATGAGGAGGGTCTGCCTGCCTGGGGGGCCTCAGGCCAGCCCACAGCAAGATGGATTTGGGGTGGAGTTTGGGCCAGGTGACGTCCTTGACCTTCGGGGGGCTGAAGGCTGAGGTCAGACTCACAGAGCCAGGAGGAGTCCCCAGTAAGAACCCAGGACACCGAGGTCTGAGGAACATCCCTGCTGGTTCGGGAGGAGTGAGGGGAGAGGACAGCTGATAGCTGTTCTCGGTGGCGTCCACCTGGCCCTCTTCCCAGCTGCTTCCAGCGCATCCTCCTGACCGTGACCATGGCTAAGCGTCCTATGAGAGAACTCGCAAGTATGCCCGGGTCTTAGGGCCTCCTGACTGCGGCTGGTGTTGGGATGGAGGGTGCCCACGTGGACTGTCCCTCCACACTGTCCCTCGGCCTCCCCACCGTGCATTTCGCTGGTTTTCGGGGTTAAGCAGTGTTCCTCCCTCAGCCTCCTGGTGGCTTCCCCGACACCCTCTCCTCTCCCTCCCCGCCCCACCCCGTCCCAGCCCCACCAGGCTCACCCAGAGCTCCTCCAGCAGGGCCACCGCCTCCTCCCCGCTCTGCGGCTGGCGGCTGCACACCCAGGCCTGCGTGTCGGCAGGCAGCGCGCTCAGGAATTGTTCCAGCACCAGCAGCTCCAGCATCTGCTCCTTGGTGTGCACCTCAGGCTGCAGCCAGTCTCGGCACAGGGCACGGAGCAGCCCCAGCGCCTCTCGAGGGCCTGGCGCATCACCCAGGTGGAAGCGGCGGAAGCGGTGCCACGGAGAGTCCAGCGCCAGGCCCTCGGCCTCCTGCTTCACAGGCACCGCCACCTCCATGGGGCCTCCGGACAGCAGCGCCTGCAAGGGAACAAACCGGTTAGAACCCTGCCCCCAGAGCCAAGACCCCAGTCCACCAGGCCTCCCCCACCCCGCCCTCCCACCGAGACCACCACCCGTCGAGACCCCCGCCTGCGGTGCCCAGACTCACACCAGGACCCACACTCCTGTTTTTAACCAGAGTCTCGCTCTGTTGCCCACGCTGGAGTGCAGTGATGCAATCTCGGCTCAATGCAACTTCAGCTCCCGGGTTCAGGCGATCCTCCTGCCTCAGCCTCCCGAGTAGCTGGGATTACGGGCGCTCACCACCAAGCCCAGCTAATTTTTGTATTTTTAGTAGAGTCGGGGTTTCACATGTTAGCCAGGCTGGTCTCAAACTCGCGACCTCGAGCAATCCACCAGCCTCAGCCTTCCAAAGTGCTGGGATTACAGGCGTGAGCCACCATGCCAGGCGTGGAACCCTCACTTCTGAGCCGCCCACGTGTCCAGGATAGGCCCGGCCTGTGTGCCCCGGTTTCCCCTGTAAGATAAAGCACTCACCTGCCCCGTGTGTCCCAGGGGGCAAAGAGGTCTGCGTGAGGGGTGGCACGCACTCGGGTGGTGAGGAAACGGTGTCCACTTCCTAGAATCCCACAGGGTCAAGTCCCAGCTTGGCCCCTCGCTGGGCTCCGAGCCTCTGTACCTCAGTCCTGCAGCTCCTCCCACAGCCTGTCCAGAGGATTCAACCAGAAAACACGAGAAGAGCTTGCAGGAGGCCTGGCAGCAGCGGGGCACCCTCAGCACCACCCTCGCTGGACTCGTGGGGCAGAGCACCCCACACCCCGGCAGCAGATACTTTGCAGCCTGCTCAGAAGCCACCCCAACTAACTGCTGTGGCCTGAATCTGTCCCCCAGAATTCATGTGTGGAAGCCCTCACCCTGTGTGACCATATTTGGAGATGGAGCTTTTAGCTGGTAATGGAGGTTAACTGAGGTCACAAGAGCTGGGCCTAATAGGACTGTGACCCTACAAGAGGAAGGGATACCAGGAATCTGTCCATCTCTGCTAACAGGAACACACAGCAAGGAGGCCTCCCAGAGCCTGGCAGAGGCCCTCAACGGGAACCAGCCATGCCGACATTCTGACCTTCCAGCCCGCAGAACTGATAAATCAACTCGTGTTGTTTAAGCAGCTCAGTCCACGGTGCTCGCCCAGCAGCCTGTCTCAGTCCCTTCTCGGGGAGTCTGCGGTCTGGGGGCCAGCACTGTCGGGTTTGGGTGAGCACCTCTTGCAGGCTGCGGACGGCCTCCTCCTATGTCCTCACATGGCAGCAAGAGAGGTGGGCAGCGAGCTCTCCTGTCTCTTCTTAGAAGGGCACTAATCCCATGCAAGAGGGCCCCACCTCCCAGTGCCATCACATGGGGGACCGCTGCCAGCATATGAATTTGAATGGATGCAGACAATGAGTCCGTAGCCCGGCCAAGCACACTGCAGCCCCAGTCACATTTGGGATTAGCAGATGTCATACACTGTCCACGGCTGCCTTGGACCTGCTGAGTGGCTGCAACAGGGTCTGGACAGCCGGCAAGGCTGCCCACAGAGCCAGAGATAATTACTCACTGGCTCTTCACAGAAGGACTGCCGACCCCTGACCTCAAGGACACTGGAAGATCAGGATAAAAGGGCCCCTGATGACCCCATGGGGCTCAGGCGCCGGCCGTCCCAGAACTCCTATGGACTAGTATGGGAGAAAAGAATCAGTGCTGTCTTCTCTGGGGCAATGTACTTGGGGTCTCTTCATGACAGCAGCTTGTCCTGTATCATAAGGAACCACAGCAAAGTCCCCTTGACCACAAGGCAGCGGGTAGCCACGTAATCTGCTTCTAGCTGGTGAGGCCTGAGAGGAAGTCTGCATTCAGACAATCTTCCGCCTGGGCTCCTGACCGCCATGTCGCCAGCCACAAACATCAGCTTGTTGCTGGGGCGGCTGCCTCAAGGTCCCTTGTGCCTGCCTGCTCTCGCCACCTAAAGTGGAATCACTCCACAGCGATCACAAAAACTTTCACTGTAAATCCTGTCACTTCCCTGCTCGACACCCTCCAACTGCTTCCTATGACGCTCAAAATGCAAATTCCTTACTACGGCCACGAGGCCATGCAGCGGGGTCCTGCTTTCTTGTCTCTTCCTTGCTTCCTGATTCTCTATACTCCAGCCACAGCGGCTCCCTTGGCTGTCTGTCGTCACCCCGGCTGGAGTGCAGCAGTGTGACCTCTCAGCTCATTGCAGCCCCGACCTCCTGGGCTCAAGCCATCCTCCCGGCTCAGCCACCCGAGTAGCTGGGACCGCAGGTGCACACCACCACACCCAGCTAATTTTTATATATTTTTTTGTAGATACAGGGTCTCGCTATATTGCCCAGGCTGGTCTCAAACTGCTGGACTCAAGTGATCCTTCCACCTTGGCCTCTCAACGTGTGGGGATTACAGGCGTGAGCCACCATCACACCAGGTCTGGCTCACTCTCCATCTTCCCAGACTGAAGGCTAGTGCCCACCCCATGGCCTCTGCACCTGCTGCTGCCTCCCCGCTGATCTTTGCTTACCTGACTCCTCATGACTGAGGCCTCAGTGCGACCACTCCCCTCTTGGAGAGCCTCCCCAGATCACCCCCTCCAGTGCTGCACCCACGTGCCTTCCCCCAGCAGCTAACACGGCACCCTTACTGGTTTTCTTTTAGCATTTAGCAAGATCTAGTGTTACGATATCTGTGTGCTTTCTTCACTCCAATTTAAGCTCCATGCACGCAAGAGACTACAAATTCCAACCCCAGCATTGTGGCTAGCACTCAAATAACTTTGTAGGCTGATCAATCCCAGGAGGTTGGCATTATTACCCCTGAGTTGCAGATGGAGAAAGTGGAGATGTCTTGCCCAAAGCCACTCAGCTCACACGTGGCAGAGCCTGGACTTGCACATCCATGTCTGTCTGGCTCCAGAGCCAGGCCACAGCATCATCTCCCACCCCGCCCACCCATCAGTTTAAGGACTGATTAACCTGGGAGCAGGCAGGAAGGCTTATCAGAACACCTGGGCCAGATGCAAGTCTCAAAAGCCACAGAGATGCGTGCTCTGTTATAAAAAAAGATCCCTCTGGCGCTGGGGAGGAATTTCCGCCAGAGAGCAAGGCCATAGGCGTCAATCTGACTCTGTCTGCAATCTCAGAGGTGAACACAGGTTACACTGCACCCTGGGCTGTCCAGAAAGTAAGCTCTTTGGGGCAGTGACCAGGTCCAACTCTTCTCTGGGTCCCTGGGGCCACCCAGCACGAGGCCTGCCCCCAAGACAGCACATGCTGAAAAGTAAGGGCATTCCAGCATGTAAGTCCACCCTAGCATCCAATGAGCGTCCTGTGCTACATGCATTCAACAGCTGTAACCCTGCCTTCTAGCTGTCTGTGTCTGCAAAGCACAGTCCAGCCTAGAGCCAGGCACCTTGGATGTCTTGCAGACAGACCTGTGAGCTGGGAAGATGGGTTCCCAACAGACCTGTGAGCTCTGGGAAGATGGGTCCCCTTATACCACAGAGAGATACTCAGAGAGTGAAGGAGCTACAAATGGGACCTAGATGTGATTCCAGAGTCCACACCAGATCCACCTAGTACCATGGCACCAGCACCCACGCATCCTGGGTTAATACCATGTCAATATCGTGGCTAAGGGTCTGTGGAGCTTGGCTGGCTGGCTTCAACTTCCAGCTCTGCCACTCATCAGCAGTGTGACTGTGGACATGTGACCTGCCCTCTCTGTGCTTCCTTTCTCCTCCTGTGACAGGACTAACAACAGCTCCTTCCTCTCAAGACGCTGCTGGGAGCCTAAGAAGTGGCCCTCCAAAGAGTCAGTTCTCCAGGAAGACCGGTTTGTCTACTGAAGTTTCCCAACCTCCACATGAATGGCACTTGAGCCTGATACTGTGCCACATACGACGCCCACCAGCATCTCTGCCTCTTTCCAGGAGATGCCAGGAGCACTTCCCCACCTGGGACAACAACAAAAAAGTCTCTAGACATTGCCACATGTCCCCTGGGGGACAAAACCACTCCTGGTTGAGGGCCGCTAGCCCATTGGACAAATATTTACCCACAGCACAAAGGCCCTGGAGCAAATTCCAGCTCTTCCTCCTACCAGCTCTGTGTCCTTGGACAAGGTACAAGGCACCTTTTGTAGTACATGGTATCTCCATTTCCTTGGCTGTAGAGTGATAGAAGGAAACCAAAAATGCTGAGAACCGCACCCCGCTAGTGAGTGCGGAGACTTAGGGTTACTTTGCAGAAGGTTCCCTGCGAGGTGCCCGAGGACATTGCTGTGAACACGCACACGGATTGAAAACACTACGTGTAAATTGGAATAGGCGTTAAAATCGGACATAAAGGAGGGTGACTTCATCTTGACTGGGGTAGAGGTGGCAGGGGTCAACTTCGGATGATAATAAACACAGTTTCTAAGCACTTTACACGTTACCGAACCTAATGCCTTGCAACAAACTAAAAAGGCAGGTGCTCTTCATCGAGAAGGCAGCAAAAGAGGGCACTGATTCTCATCTTCAGGAATCCCACGCTCTGTAAAAGTTGCACTTGTAAAAGCAGCGCACAGAATGAGCCGCCTGCACCGTATCTACGTTACAGCCACCACGTCCCCGGAAACCCCTTCCCGCAAACCTTTCCGAAGGGGTCCGGTCCCAGCGCCCCCGCACTTCCTTGCAGCGTCCAGCTTCCCACTGAGCTTTCATCTCACAGACCAACCCCTGCTTGCGTCCCCTCCCCCACCTGTCCCTCCCCCATCTGTCCCTCCCCCTTTCCTCCCCTCCGCCCCTCCCCCTCCCCCAGCCGTCCCTCCCCCATCCCCTCCCACAGCTTCTCTCTCCCGCGTCCAGGACCTCAGGATCCACGACCCCCTCCCACTACCCACCCGTCCCTCTCCAAGCCCCTCCCCCTCTAGTTCCCTCTCACAGCCCCTCCCCCATCACTCAGCCCCCTTCACCCCTACGCCCTAGACTCCCATCTCTCCCTCCAGAGGCCCCCGGCGCCCCTCTTCCCGTCGTACCGCTGGTCCCTCCCTCTTCCAACCGCTCCCCTCCAATCCCTCCCTCCTTCCCCCCTTGCTCACCTCACTCTCTCAGGCGAGGCCCCCCAAGCCCCCTCACCTCCCCGCACATGCGCACAAAGCTCATCGGGACTCCATGCCCCGGCAGGCTTTGCGCCAAACTTCCCCGTCCCCCTCCCGCCACCCCAGGCTCCGAGTCGATCGTTCAGCCCAACAACCCGCTCCCTGCGGCTCCGGCCTCGCCCCGAACTACACCTCCCAGGAAGCACCGCGGCAAAGGCGGCTGCGCATTGGCCCTCGCCGTGGGCGCACCCCGGTTTGTCACCGCGTGGCGTCTTCGCCAACACTGGAACTACATTTCCCAAGATGCACAAAAGCGTCGTCTGCGGCCTACTGGGCCTTGATGGCGCTACTGTTGCGGGCTCGCTGAGCGGGTCAGGCTTTGGACTACATTTCCCAGAATGCACGAAGAGGCTTCCCAGTGGTCTGCGTGCGGACCCTGGGCATGCGCAGACGTGCCGCGGGAAAAAAAAAAAAAAAAAAGGGAGGAGGAGAAGGAGGGGCCACGGCAGCGTTGTCGTGGAGACCCAGGGAGGCTGGGTATCGGCCGAGCATTTGGGAGGTGGGGCCTCCGGGGCTCTAGAAGCTGGAAAGCGACGAGGAGGAGGAGGAGGAGACAAAGCAAGAGTTCTGCGCCAGGAGTGCAGGCTACGTCTCCTTGACTACGGATTGCATTTTTTTTTCTTGTCCTCCCTCTCCACCCCGGCAGAACTTAAGGATCGATGTCGGTGCCAGGAATCAGGACGTAAGCGGGCTGCCCTCCTGTTCCGGGGTGGGCGGCGGCTCAGGAGGGGGCCAGCGCGGGGGCCTCGGTTTGGCTCTTCTTGTGTGAACCTGGACCGGACACCGCCCTCTCTTTGGCCGCAGTTTTCCCTGGTGTGAACTGGGGGAGAGCGCTACCAGCGACGCGTGCTCGGTGTGCCCTTGTTGGACAGACTACCGCCCGGTCCTGAGGCCTCAGTTTCTTTTCTCCTTCTCAGAACTGAAGAAGCATGCTTGCATTTTAAGGCAGAAAGACATCTGAAGAGATCAGCTGAAGCTTTTTATCTAGATAGTTCCAGGACTGATTATGGCTCATGCCAGCCTAGTGGGCCAGGGTTAGCCCTACCCCAGCCTGCGGCAAATTTCCTCTTCTGTATAATAAGGATAAGAGAATCCCCCTCTCCTCCCCTGCCTCTCCGGCTGATCTGAAGACTCCTTGCCATCAAAAGGAAGACAGTGGAAGTTGTTCCTCTTACCATATTCATAAATGAACAACTGTCCCCAGAATTCACAAGCGATGAGTGGCTGACTCAGAACTTTGTGACCAGTTTGCCCACGGTGACCTAACCTGCCCTGGCCCATCTATCTGCCCCTGTCTTCTCCTCTTGTTTAATGAGTTCCAATCATGTCTCCTTTGTGCGCCTAGAACACACTGATCTTCCCATTTATCTCTGATGGCCTACTTGATATCTCCACTTGGATTTCCTAATAGGCCTCTCAAACCTACGGTGGGCAGTAAAGAATTTTTCACTCCCTCCCTCACCTTACAAAGTAACTTGTTCATTCCCACTACTTCACCATCTTAGAAAGCAAGTCCATCATTCATCCAAATGTTCAGGCCAAGAATAGAAAAGCGGCCCTTGATTCCTCCCCCCGATACTGAGTTTGGCTCTGTTGCCTAGGCTGGAGTGCAGTGGTGCAATCACAACTCACTGCAACTTCCAACTCCCAGTCTCAAGCGGTTCTTGTGCCTCAGCCTCCTGAGTAGCTGGGTTTACAGGCATGCACCACCATGCCCAGGTAATTTTTGAATTTTTAATAGAGATGGGGTTTGCGATGTTGGCCAGGCTGGTCTTGAACTCCTGGCCTCAACGGATCTGTCTTAGCCTCCCAAAGTGCTGTGAGTACAAGCTGAGCCCCTGCGCCCGGCCAATTTCTTTTTTATCATCCTCCACATGCAATCTATCATCAGGTCCTATTGGCTTTGTTTTCAAAATAGAGTCAGAATCTGTCCACAGCTCTTCTGTCCACAGCTACCACCTTGTCAAAGTCCCCGTGGCATCTTTAGACATTGTCATTTTTCCACTCTGGCCTCTTCTGCCTCCTGCCCCTCTGTTCCTGCTCCACACAGCAAACAGAGGGATCTTCCTTATATTTTTTATTGTGGTAAAATATATACATCATAAAAATTACCATCTTAATCATCATTAAGATACAGTTCAGTAGCAGTAAGTGCATTCAAGCTGTGTAATCATCACCACTGTCCATATCCGGAATTCTTCATCTTCCCAAATTGAAATTATACCCATTAAACGTGAACCATCCATTCCTCTCTCCCCTGAGCCCCTGGCCAATCACCATTCTGTTTTTGGTTTCTGTATTTTTGTTTGATTGTTTGTTTGTTTTTGAGTCAGGGTCTGCCTCTGTCGCCCAGGCTGGAGTACAGTGGCTCAATCTCGGCTCACTGTGACCTCCGCCTCCCAGGCTCAAGCAATTGCCCCACCTCAGCCCCCCAAGTAGCTGAGACTACAGGTGTGTACAACCACGCTCAGGTTTTTTGTACATTTTATTTTTCTTTTTAGTAGCGACAGGGTTTCGCCATGTTACCCAGACTGGGCTTGAACTCCTGGGCTCAAGTGATCCACCTGCCTCGGCCTCCTGAAGTGTTGGTATTACAGTCATGAGCCACCACACGGGGCCTGGTTTCTGTGATTTTGACTCCATTAATACTTCATGTAAGTGGAATCATACAGTATTTGTCTCTTGTGACTGGCTTGTTTAACAGAATAATGTCCTCAAGATTCATCCATGTTGTAGCATGTGTCAAAATCTCCTTCCTTTTCAAGATTGCATTAATATTCTGTTGTATACACAAACCATATTTTGTTTACCCATTCATCAGATGGATCTCTTTTTTTTTCTTTTTTGAGAAAGAGTTTCCCTCTTGTCGCCCAAGCTAGAGTACAATGGTGTGATCTCAGCTCACTGTAACCTCCGCCTCCTGGGTTCAAGCAATTCTCCTGCCTCAGCCTCCCAAGTAAGTGGGATTACAGGTGAGCACCAGCACGCCCAGCTAATTTTTTTTTTTTTTTTGTATTTTTAGTAGAGATGGGTTTTCACCATGTTGGCCAGGCTGATCTCGAACTCCTGACCTCAGGTGATCCACCTGCCTTGGCCTCCCAAAGTGCTGGGATGAGAGGCATGAGCCACCATGCCCAGCCCCAGCGGGATCTTGTTGAAACTTCAATAGGGTCATGTAACTTTTTGCTTCAAACTCTCCAGTGCAGGCTGGGTATGGTGGGTCACTCTGTAATCCCAGCACTTGGGGAGGCTGAGGCGGGCCCATCACGAGGCCAGGAGTTCGAAACCAGTCTGGCCAACATAGTGAAACCCAGTCTCTACTAAAATACAAAAAATTAGCCGGGCATGATGGCATGCGCCTGTAATCCCAGCTACTCAGGAGGCTGAGGCAGGAGAGTCACTTGAACCCAGAAGGCAGAGGGTGTGGTGAGTTGAGATCGCGTCACTGCACTCCAGCCCAGGCAACAGTGTGAGGCTTCGTCTCAAAACAACAAAACACCAACAATTTTTGGGTGACTGCTCTGCCCACCTCATGCTGAGCAAGTCAGCAACAGAGACCAACCCTTCTTGCCTGTTGTACCCAGCTCCTGGCTTGGGGCCTGCCTGGGAATGAGTCAATAAGAGTGAAGGAAAGTGGTTCTTACCCCACTTCCCAGGCCTGAGGGCAAGAATTCCTTTGGCAGCAAATTTAGCTCTTACCTTCCTGCTTCTCGGCTCCTTTGTAGCTATGCTATAATTATTGCCCGAAATAATAATTAAGATTTTTCTCTCTGTATGGTGCTTTGAAGCAGTATGATCCCCCAGGGCAGGGATGGGGCTTGGTTCAAATCTGGAGGCTCAGGTTGTGTTTATGGGTGAGTGGATGATGGACTAGTGAGTGAGCCTGTGAGGGGAAGAGCCAGCAGAAGGGGGGATGGCCTACATACATTGGGATGTCAGTCTGTGTCCTGCAGTGCAGGCTCCCAGTGGGCTGGATCTCAACCTGAGTCATCTTTGGCTCCCCAAGGCCCCAGGAAACGTTTGAAAAAGAATAATGCAATTAACGAAATTAATGAAGCAGTTCATGCTTAATGATGGGTCATACCACCCATTATCTGATTTTCCCCCATGCTCATCCCGTGATCAGAGAATCACCCCATTTTACGGCTGGGATAATCGAGGTTCAGAGGGGCAAGTGTACTTTCCCAGGTGACACAGCAAGAGACCCCGGGTGTCCTGAGCCTCTCTCACAGGAGGAAACTGAAGCTCAAGAAGGGCATTCTGGCTGGACGTGGTGGCTCACATGTGTAATCCCAGAACTTTGGGAGGCAGAAGTGGGTGGATCACCTGAGGTTGGGAGTTCGAGATCAGCCTGGCCAACATGATGAAACCCTGCCTCTAATAAAAATACAAAAATTAGCCGGGCATGGTGACAGACACCCTGTAATCCCAGCTAGGCCAGAGGCTGAGGCAGGAGAATCGCTTGAACCCGGGAGGCGGAGGTTGCAATGAGCCGAGATTGCACCACAGCACTCCAGCCTGAGTAATAGAGCAAGACTCTGTCTGAAGGAAAAAAAGAAAAACAAAAAAAAGAAGGGTATTCTGAAGTCTCCGCCCAGTGCAGGCAGCAGGTTTTCCACCTGGCCAGATCTGTCCTCTTCCTTAGATGTTCAGAGAGTGAGCAGTGCTTACAGGAGGAGGGAGTCAAGCAGACTTTACCCTCACTGCCAAAGCAGAGAATTCCTTGGAAATTCTTCCCAACTGTATCTCGAAACGTCTGGCCAAAGTGAAAACGGCTTCTCAGAGGGTGATATTGTGGGCTTCCGTCTCACTCCCCTTCCACCCCTTTACTCTCTGGAGAGAAATCTCTCTGGTTGGAGATGGCAGCTGCCTTTCCCAGACCTCCTCAGAGCTAGAGTTCTGGACTGAATTGGGCTTTGTTAATTAAGTGCACTCGAGTAAGATGCGGAAAGCCATTCAAGGGCCACTGGCAGTCAGTGAGGTTTATTTATCTTGGTTCAGCAAGGGAGGACGCATTCCAGGGGATCACTGTACAAGGGGGCAGAAGAGGCCTTTCAGAGCATTAGGGCTTGCGCTAGAGGGCTCTACCAGGTGTTGGGGCAAGTGGGGAGCAGTTCTACTGAAGGCTTAAGAAGCAGGGCAGCAGGGCTCGGTGGCTCACGCCTGTAATCCCAGCACTTTGGGAGGCCGAGGGGAGCGGAACACAAGGTCAGGAGATCGAGACCAGCTTGGCCAATGTTGCAAAACCCCATCTCTACTAAACATACAAAAATTAGCTGGGCATGGTGGTGGGCACCTATAATTCCAGCTCCCCGGGAGGCTGAGGCATGATAATGGCTTGAACCTGGGAGGCAGAGGTTGCAGCTTTGGAGAGTGGCCGCTCTTGGCCCCTGGATCACAGCTTCGGGGGTATGTTCTGGAACTCAGAGCTACAGGTGAGTCTTCAAAGGCGGCGGCTCCTGGCTGGGATGGTTGCATGTGATTCTGTGAGTCATCTCAGGGGGTTCAGCCCATTCAACAACTCTGCGAACATTTAATTCCTATATCAAATCCTTGGTAGATAAAATACCTGAGGTGGGGTCTGTTTAGCTGTTTCCTCCCTTGAAACCAGACTGAGCCACTTCTCCGTTCCCCTTTAGACAATCGCCATGATGGTCATAACGACTCATGATTGTGTGCGATTCCTACGTCGGAGCACTGGGATCAGTGGCTTCATGCACCTCACTTAGCACTGGCCACACCTGTGAGGTTTGTTTGTTTGTTTGTTTTTGAGATAGAGTCTTGTTTTGTCACCCAGGTTGAGGTGCAGTGATGCAATCTCGGCTCACTGCAGCCTCAGCCTCCTGGGTTCAAGCGATTCTCCTGCCTCAGCCTCCCAAGTAGCTGGGACTACAGGTGCATACCACCACACCTGGCTAATTTTTATAGTTTTAGTAAAGATGGGGTTTCACCATGTTGGCCAGGATGGTCTCAATCTCCTGACCTTGTGATTCGCTCGCCTCAGCCTCCCAAAGTGCTGGGATTACAGACGTGAGCCACTGCACCCGGCCACCTGTGAGGTTTTTCCCTAACAGGGTCAGAGAGTATATGGCACATTATCCAGAGAGTTATCATCTGACCAGTCTCGGTGGCTAATGCCTGTAATCCCAGCACTTTGGGAGGCCGAGGCAGGAGGATCACCTGAGGTCAGGAGTTTGAGACCATCCTGGCCAATGTGGCGAAACCCTGTCTATACTAAAAATACAAAAATTAGCGGGGCGTGGTGGCATACACCTGTAATGGCAGCTACTCAGGAGGCTTAGGCATGAGAATCGCTTGAACCAGGGAGGCGGAGGTTGCAGTGAGCTGAGATCACACCACTGCATTCCAACCTGGGTGACAGAGAGAGACTCTGTCTCAAAAAAAAAAAACAAAAAACCTAAAACAAAGAGTCATCATCTGATTGCTGCAAGGGATGAAGTTACCACAGCTGTAAAAACATCCACTGGTGAGACCCACTGAGTGTAAACGCCCCCTCTTTATAACAGTGCTATGGAAGTCACATGGGAAATTCTACAAATCCATACCTGATTCATGTTTCGGTTTTTCTGAGAATTGGCGCATACATTCATCCTTGCAATTATTGCTTACATTTTGTTAAATATGGAACAAGATACACTTAAAGTCAATTCTTTGTGTTCCTGGTAGTTCTGTAAAGTCACCATGAACAGCTGATACCCATGCTCCTAGGGAAACACAGTGCTAGGTTCCTGTGAGCCTCTAGTCACATGTTCATCAATACAAGCCTTATTTTATGTATGTTTTTATTTAAACACACCTTTGTTGATATATTGTTTTTTTGGTTTTTGGAGTTTTTTTGAGACGGAGTCTTTCTCTGTCGCCCAGGCTTGAGTGCAGTGGTGCAATCTCAGCTCACTGCAATCTTTGCCTCCCAGGTTCAAGAGATTCTCCATTTTTTACACTAAAAAATGCTGGGAATACATGCATGTGCCACCACGCCCAGCTACTTTTTTGTATTTTTAGTAGAGACAGGATTTCACCATGTTGGTCAGGCTGATCTTGAACTCCTGATCATGATCCACCTACCTTGGTCCCCCAAAGTGCTAGGATTACAGGCATGAGCCACCGCACCCGGCCTTTTTTTTCCTTTTTTTGAGATGCAGTCCCCCTCTCTGTCCCTTAGGCTGGTGTGCAGTGGTGGGATCTCGGCTCACCACACCTCAGCCTCCTGGGTTCAAGCGATTCTCCTGCCTCAGCCTCCCGAGTAGCTGGGATTACAGGCCCGCACCACCACACCTGGCTAATTTTTGTATTTTTAGTAGAGACAGGGTTTCACCATGTTGGCCAGGCTGGTCTTGAACTCTCGACCTCAGGTGATCCGCCCACCTCGGCCTCCTAAAGTGCTGGGATGGCAGGTGTGAACCACAGCGCCCAGCCACTGTGTCATTCTTATGCCTTTGCATCCTCATAGTTTAGCTCCCACTCATGAGAGAGAACATCCGACGCTGGCTCTCCATTCCTGAGTTAGTTCACTTAGAAGAACAGTCTCCAATCCCATTTAGGTTCTGCACGTTACCATCTTATGGACAGGAACGTGAGCTAGCACTTCAACGCTACACCCGGGGGCATTTAAACAGCAAAGCCACCGAGAGAAAGCATAAAAACGTGGAAAATGTGGCACTGAATAGGCTGAGAAGGACGCTTGTTTGCAGGAAGAGAACTGAAGGGAGAAGGCAGGGGCTGCCCTGTTCCATCTAGCCGCTGTTTTCCTTCTTTTTGGTGTGCTGCTCTAGGCATGTCTGTGAGTGACCAGAAGAACCACAGAAGCACTGCGAGTATTAATGTGAGGCTACAAATAAATGTTAGCGAGTTGAAGATTCACAAATACAGAATCCACAAATAATGAGGATGCTGCACTGTATTTTCTTCTTCTTTTCTTTTCTTTATTTTGAGATGGAGTCTTGCTCTGTCACCCAGGCTGGAGTGTAGTGGCACGATCTCAGCTCATTGCAACCTCCGCCTCCTGGTTCAAGTGACTCTCCTGCCTCAGACTCCAGAGTAGCTGGGATTACAGGCATGCACCACCATGCCTGGTTGATTTTTGTATTTTTTAGTAGAGTTGGGTTTTTGCCATGTTGGTCAGGCTGGTCTCGAACTCCTGACCTCAGATGATCCACCCTCCTCAGCCTCCCAAAGTGCTGGGATGACAGGTGTGAGCCACCGTGCCCAGCCAGTATTGGTTCATTTTTACACTAAAAAATTTCTCATCTTTGATCTGGAGTTCACATTTAACTGGGCATCCTGGAGTCTGCCATGCCTAAGAATCCCTTGAGCACTGGGTTAAAATGCAGATTCTCACTCTGTAGGTTTGGAGCAGGGCCTGGGATTCTGCATTTCTCACGGGTCCGTGGATGCTGCCAATGCTGCCTCCCAGGGCCCAGCTATGTCTGGGAGTAGAGATGAAAGTTGAGCATGTTCCTCTAAGCAAAGCACCCAGCAGAATGTCTAGGACATGACGAAAACTCAGGAAGTGGCTGTTGATGATCATGGTAAGGAGGACCGTCTGAAAAGTGTGATTGTGTGTGTTTCTCTGTGTGTGGGGGACTTCTAAGCAATTGTATTTCAACAGCTGCAAACTCTCCCTCTCCAATCTGCCAGCTGCAGCTGTTCCTGTCACTGGGCCTAGGGTCACACCCTCAGGAGGAAACCATGAGGAAAGCTCTAACGGGCTCCCCAGTGGGAACTGCAGCCCATGCCCCCCACCAGAGACCTCAGACTTTCTAGATGACTACGGAGCTATGTGGCTATTCCCCTCGTCCACCACTCAACCAATGTAGAATCCAAAACGGGGCTTTCCTGGAAGACGTCTAGAGAGACTCACTCACTCAAGGGAAGGAAGAGTGGAACACCCAGACCTCAGGAAGGTTAGGCAGAGAGGAAGCAGCCAAGCCTACGGCCTGGGCACAGAACGCAGCTGGGAAAGTGTTTCTCTCCAGCTCTCACCTCTCTGTGAGGCTTCATCGTCTCCTCCTGCAGAATGGCTTCCTCCCCATGGTGCAAAACAAGGCTGCCGTGAGCTTTCTAGCCTCTCACATCTCGGCATCTGTGCCATAGCAGTGGACTCTCCAGAGAGAGGGATCCAGAGAGAGCCACTGATGGGCCAAGTTGGGTGGGACGGTGCTGTTATAGCCACGTTCGATTCTCTCCAGACTTACCGACACCCCCTCCACCCAATTTTATTCGGTCTCAAGGATTTAAATTCCATCTAGATGCTGATGCATCCCTGAAAGGGAGCTTTGCCGTTTTTACTGCCTAGCATCTGAAAACTGTAATAGTTAGGGAAGAGTGAAGCTACTGTAATAAATCCACAGATGGTAATGGCACATCACATTAGAGGGGTACTTCTTTTTTCCTTAAAAACATTTTAAATTGTAGAAAGACATATAAATATATATAACACAAAATTAAATGTCTTAACTATTTTTTTTCTTGGTGGAGGGACGGAGTTTCACTCTTGTCACCCAGGCTGGACTGCAGTGGCATGATCTTGGCTCACGGCAACCTCCGCCTACTAGGTTCAAGCGATTCTTCTGCCTCAGCCTCCCATATAGCTGGGACTACAGGCATGCAACACTATGCCCAGCTGATTTTTGTATTTTTAGTAGAAACGGGGTTTCACCATCTTGGCCAGACTGGTCTCAACCTCCTGACCTCAGGTGATCCACCTGCCTCAGCCTCCCAAAGTGCTGGGATTACAGGTGTGAGCCACCGTGCCTGGCCATGTCTCAACTATTTTTAGCTGTGCAGTTCAGCAGTGTTAAACCTATTGACATCTGGTGCACCCACCACCCCCATCCATTTCCAGAACTCTTTTCATCTTGCAAAATGGAAACTCTGTCTCCAATAAACACTAACTCCCCATTCCCTTCCCCCTAGCCCCTGGCAACCCCCATTCTACTTTCCGTCTCTATGAATGTGACTCCTCTAGGTACCTCATATAAGTGGAATCATAGAGTATTTGTCCTGTGTGACTGGCTTATTTCTCTTACCATCATGTCCTCAAGGTTCATCCATGTTGTAGCACGTGTCAGAATTGTCTTTCTTTTTAAGGCTAAATAATATTCCATTGTATTTATTTTTATTTTATTTTCTTGAGACAGTCTGGCTCTGTCGCACAGGCTGGAGTGCAGAGGTGTGATCTTGGCTCACTGCAGCCTCCACCTCCCGGGTTCAAGCGATTCTCCTGCCTCAGCCTCCTGAGTAGCAGGGATTACAGGCGCCCGCCACTGTGCCCTGCTAATTTTTGTATTTTTACAAAATAGTAGTAAAGACAGGGTTTCACCATGTTGGTGAGGCTAGTCTTGAACTCCTGACCTCATGATCCTCCCGCCTCAGCCTCCCAAAGTGCTGGGATTACAGGTGTGAGCCACTGCGCCTAGCCTGGGCATACATGTTTCTTAAGAGCCTTGGCTTGGAAGAGGCCTGTATTGCTTCCATCCCATCCCATTGGTGAGAACCAATCACAAGGCCATGCTTAGATGCCAAGAGGAGTGGAAAACCTAAGCCATGGATGGGAAGCAGCATCCCGGGAAGGATTTGGTACTGTGGAAGGGAAGGACAGATGTTAACTGTGAACTGGCCATGTCTGCTGCAACCCATCCCATGTTTGGGAAACGTGCCGGTATTGGTTTGGTTGTCTTAAGAGAGAGACTCAGAATTACCAATGGTTTCAGTGAGTGTGAACGTGATTTCTCTCCCGTAAGGTCTCAGCTGGCAGGGAGCCTCTTTCACGGAGCCATGCAGTGTCTAGCTGGCTCCTTCTATCTTGTTTCTCCTCCATTCTCAGTGTTGGCTTCCATCTGAGGTGCCAATGTAGCTGTTCCAGATCTCGCCGTTAAGTTTTCAGTTTGACCAGTGAAGAAGGGGTATGATCTGGGAGAGGGAGGAGGCTGTCCCTCCCAACAACCAGGTCATTGCAGGACACCCACTCAATGATCTGATTCAGAGGAGCAGAAGCACGCAGCTTTTCCTGCACACAGGTTTCCTCATGTACAGTTCGTACCCTTAATAACTTGTTTCTATTGTAACAGCACTTCCTTCTGTTCTTTTTTTTTTTCTTTTTCTGAGACAGAGTCTCATTCTGTTGCCCAGGCTGGAATGCAGTGGGGTGATCTCAGCTCACTGCAAACTTGAAGTGATTCTCCTGCCTCGGCCTCCCGAGTAGCTGTGATACAGGTGAGTGCTACCACACTCATCTAATTTTTGTATTTTTAGTAGTGACTGGGTTTCACCATGTTGGTCAGGCTGGTCTTGAACACCTGACCTCAAGTGATCCATCTGCCTCAGCTTCCCAAAATGCTGTGATTACAGGCGTGAGCCGCCATGCCTGGCCACACTTCCTTATGATCTAAGGTATATTTAAAAATTTACCTTTGTGATACTTCAGCGAGGGACTCAGACATCTTCCTATTGACACACAAATTTAATACAGCACTGTTGCCCCCACCCCACGGAAAGACGCTATTAAATCAATAATGCACATCTTATGACTGATGCTGACTGAGATTTGAGGTTACACAGTGGCCACCAGCAATAGACTTTAAATAACACTAATAAGTAATAAGGACCGCTAACATTTGCGTGAGTTTACTTCAAGGCCAATAATGAACTTAGCAGCTTTTACACATACTACCTCACATGTGATCTTACTTTTTCCCATTTCACAGATGAGAAATTGAGGCTGAGAAAGGTGTTATTCCACAAGTGAACTGTAGCTTCTTATATTTCTGATTCTCAATAAGGATGATAATAAAACAATTATAAACAATAAGTCATCTGCCACTCTCACTTAGGTGAGAGTCAGCCAAGTACAGAACAGAGGAGGGACCGGAAGGACTCGCCTGCAAGGACACCACCGTTTGGACAATGATTTTAAAATGTGTGTTTTTTGAAAGAATACTAACAGTAACAGCTGACATCCAGTGCGTGCTCACTAGGTGGCTACTTAACACGAGGAAGTGGTGGATTCTCAGCTGCTGTGACAGGAGGCACTGTGTACAGTCAAGGGTTAAATACACGAATTTGGAGACAAACTCCACGGGTTCGGGCCCGGGCTCTGGTATTCCGTGTGTGTGACTTTCGGTAGGTGATCTGACTCCTCATCTGCAAAATGGGGACAGGACCTATCCCGAGGCCTTAGTTAGGATGAGGACCTAGCGCATGTGAAGCACTTGGAGGCGCACAGTGTATTTTTATTACTTCAGAAAGGAGGAAACTGAGGCTATGGCACCTGAAGCGCAGCACTCTCCATCCAGTAACTAAGGAATCCGGGGTCGCAGGGGACGGAGCCCTTTGGGCACCTGGACTCGGGCCACCGGGAGGAGCGGCGGCATAGAAGGGGTTACCATGATAGAGACGGCAGGAGGACCCGAGGTGGCACGAGCGTCCCTCTCCGCCACTTTACACTCTCCGCAAGGCTAGCGCGGGGAGCCGGCCGCGCAGGCGCGAGGAGCCCGGGCTTGGGGGGCGGGGGGGTGCCGCCCTCGACACCCGGAAGTCTCCGCCTAACGGGCCCAGCCTGCATCTCCTGTCCAGGAAGGGGGCGGGGCCGAAGCCCCTCGGCGCGGGGCGCCATAGAGCATGGACGGAGGACTTGTGTCCTAGACGCGTCCGGAAGTGGCTCCCTCAGGCGCCCGCCGGGCACCATAGAGCTGGGGGCGGCGGCCGGGGTAGCGGGCTCGCCTTCCTAGAGCGGCAAGGACAGGGTGGTGGCCCGGGGGGTGGGGGGGGGAGCCGCGCGGGCGGAAGCGGCCGGGAAGGTCACTTCCGGCCTGGGCGCCCGTCCCCCTGACCCCAGGGTCTGAGTCGCCGCTGCCGCCGCTGCCACTATCCGCGAGGCAGGAGAGAGGAAGAGGAGTGAGGCGCGGCGGCCCCGGGACCGAGGAGGTGAGGGGCGGGGGCGAGGGCTGTGCACTGGAGGCAGGGTGGGCCCGCGCTTCGGGAAGCTGGGCTTGGTCTGGGGGTGGGTGGGGAGACGGGAGGGCGAGCGCGACTGGGCGGCGGGCGCGCGTGCGCGCTGCTGGGGGGGGCGTGAGTGGGCGCGCGGCCGGGGTGACGCGGGCGGGGGGAGTGCGCGTGCGCGCCGAAGGCGTTGGGAGGGGACGAGTGCCCTGGCGGCCCGCGGGCGGCGAGCGGGGCTGGAGGGGGGGGGCGCGCGTGCGCGGGGCCGGGGCCGGGGCCGGGGCGCGCGCGCGCGTGCGCTGGCTGGGGCCGGGGGCCTTGGTGGGGGTCCCTTTCCTGCGGGCCCTCGGGGTCGGGGGCGCTGTCCGTCCCCACCACGTCCCAACTCCGCCGGTCGTGGCCGGAAGTGGTGGCGACTCCTGAGGGAAGTTAAGGCCCGGGTGGGGGAAGGGGCCGCGCGGGCCGGGCTGGTCTGGCCGGATACCGCGGCCTTGAGGGCACGGTCTCAGCCCTCGGCCCCCCCCACCAGCCCTTCCTTCCTCTTTTCGAGTCAGCCCGGGTCCCGTTGCTGCCCCGGGCGGGCTGCGCGTGGCCTTTGATCAGGCGGGTAATTACGGGGATTCTGGCCGGCGGGAGGCCCATTCATTCGCCCTTGCGCGGCAGGCGGGCAGGAAGCGCGTCCCCGGGGGGGAAGTGACTGGGCCAAGGTCAGCCACCGCGTGGCCCGCGGGACAGGGCGAAGGCAGGGACTGGACCAGTTGGCGATTCCTGAGGCCTCCCTCGCCGGTGTCGAGGGGATCAGGGTGGAACCCCGCCCCTCTGACACCCCACCCCGACTCCCAGTTCAGGGAGATGACCCCAATTCATGTGGACGAGTGCCCCTGGGACCTGCAGAATCGGACAGAAAAGTGACCCACAGACACAGAAGGCAGGAGTGAGTGGAGGCAGAAGCTTTTTCAGTCGCAGCCAGACCCTGTGGCTGGCACTAGAGACAGGGTGCAGGGAGATAACAAGGGCCTGGAGTCGGATTTGCGGGCAGAGACTGAGACCTGAGCAGCAGAGTCGCCACCCCAGTTCACCAGACCCCCGATAGAGAGGCCTGGGGGCTGTGTAAGCCAGGGGAGGCATGTTGTCTTCACCTGGGTCTGGGGGATGGGCAGGGCTTTAGGGAAGGAATGACTTGGTCTGCTTTTTGCGGTTTCCTGGTGCCAGGCCCCATGTTGGGCAGTGCTTACGACCCATTTGGGGATCTGATTGGCCCCGGCACCGGGAAGCACAGTTGCGTTGATCCTGGCTTAGCTTCTCTGTAAGACTGTAAGCCTCTTTGGCTAAACCCAGCTGACATTCACCTGCCTGCCTCTGCGCAGTTCCCCTGTGGTCCTCCTGCCTCGGCCCCAGACAACATACAGATCAGATTCCTGTTTGCTTATCTCACCTCTTATCCATCCATCCAAGCTTCAGCAGAGCTGAGGGATGGAAAGGGCTCATCACCCTGCCTGGCCCCTCCCT